CTGCTTCTGCACTGGGAAACATCATGTCTTAGCTCAACCCACCCACCAGTAGCCTCAGGACCCAGAGAGGAGTTGTGGCACTGTATTAAGCGCAGGGCTGCAGTAGAGGAACCGGAGAGTGAGAACAGCTAAATCCTCTCTGGGCTGTGCCTCTGTGCTATGCACGAGGACTGATGACAAAACCTTTGCTTACTTCTGAAGCTGAAGCTTTAGGAGAGGAAAGTCCAGCTGTAGCTAATCTTTCCTGGCTTTCTAATGCCAACAGTAGTGATTAACCTTGCAAGAATGTCTAAAAATACAGAGGAGTAATGAGCTAACATGGTGAAGTTTAGCACTGTGCATACTTCTGGCTGAAAATTGGACAAGACCTACAGGTGTCATTGTCTGTTTCATTCCATATCAATTTAAGCAGCTTGATATAAAGGCTCTGAGGAATGAAGCTGCAGAGCAGAGGCACCAGACGTTGCATAGGAAAACACCTATTCTCATAGATTCAATCTATGAGAACTCCATGATTTTCCCATGCTAACACTTTTTAGAACTATTTACCCAGACTGCCTGCCTCTTACCAATGAAAGAAAACAAAAATTTCACCTTACAGTTTTTTTCATGGTTAGTATAAATCATCATCGTTCCCTGACTGCACTAAGGGACAATATTTTACACCAGTTTGTCACTTGGGTTTCCAGAATGGTTGGTGTGGAGTCATGAATTGTCATCTTCTTAGTACTGATGAATATTTTTTAGCCACAGCAGCATTTCCGAGTTAACTAAGTAACTAAAGACTGAATGAATGGAAGCAGTTTGGGTCAAATGGATTATTCATTGCTATCCCAGAGGAGACCCTGTCATTTTTGGACCTCAGAGGAGCAGAATCTGGGGCATTTGTACGTACTGCTCGGCAAACTGTCAGCACGGCACACTAACAAATATGTAAGAGCTGCCCTTATGTGAACTATTAGGAGGCCAAGTGATTAATAGGTTGATCTGTTGAAACTGTTTACTTCCTAAAAGCATGACTGGGTGGACTTGCTGCTTACGATACAAGAAGCTCTTATTAACATTCAAATAGCTGGTTTTCGTTAAAGACATCTGTGGCCTAGAACTGTGAAAGCCTGTTTGGTTTTGTATTTGTGTCATAAATAAACGAAACACTGCGTTTGTATACCCAGCACATGTTTCCTGTAAGGGGTTTTCTTTCAAAGCAGTCAAAGCAAAATACATTGCCTGGTGGCAAAGGCAGCTGATGGGGTACCACTTTGCAGCTCATGGGCTTTCATCTCTGGTAAGGACAATGTGACCTGGGGAGATTTTGAGTTCCTTCATGTAATGCTCCTTTTCCATGCCAAGATGGTACTCTGCTTTTATGCAACATGTGGACCCCAGGCACTTGGGAACTTGCTTTTTGGCAGCCATATTTCTAATCTACAAATACTGCAGAAGAATTTCTCCCTCCCCACCCACAAGGCCACATATGTGCTTTGTGCTTGTACCGCCTTCTCCAGCTGTTGGGGAAAGCAAACTGAAACTGTAATTACGTCTAAAAGAACTGATTTTTTGAAACTGTCAGCAGCCTAGGAAAGATTATGAGATAACAAAAGACACAGGATAACACAGTGGTTAAGGACCTATTCACCCTAGGCAAGCTGATTTTGGCAAACTGATGAGTCGCCTAGGCTTAGATCTAGAAAAGGGCTTGGGTCTGGGAAAGGACTTCAGCCCTCAAGGGTGAATCATGTGTTGCAGAAATCCCACTCACGTAATGTTGTAGCCATGCCACTGATGTTCTGAGGGCACTGTGCATTCTGATGTATTTGTAAAATATGCAGTTGTCATACAAAGAGCACAGACTGCTCAATTATCACAGCCTGAACCCATCCACCCCTCTTTCTATCCAGGAACACTAAACACATCAATTGCTGTCCATGTTGCCTGCTCTCTAGTCCTTAGTGGTTCCTTCCACAGGAACAGCTGGAGGAGTTTTTCTCTCTCTCCTGGACCTTCATGTCTCAGGCAAATGCTCCACCTCTTGGAGCATTTGGAGAGGAAGGGCACTCTTAAATTGTCAGGCTGAAGCTGTTTCTCTTGTGGGACTAGGCAGGGACTGTGATGAATAGCAGCATCACAAGTAATTTAGGTTCTCCTTCTTCAGAGGAATCGGGCTTGGAAGAGTTTGGCTGCTGAATCCCCCTTCTTCCAGGAATCTTCAATCTTACCTGGAATTATATGTGATAAAGCAAGAAACAACCCAGAAAAAGAAATAAACCAGAAATAAACCCAGAACCAGGCCTAAGGACTTTACACTGTGATCACAGGAGCTGGGAGATCCTCACAGAGACCTTCGGATAGGACAGCTGCCTCCTGCTCAGGCTGAAGGAGTGAAACGCCCTCATTGTGCCCACAGAGGAATTGTCACAGCCTGGTTCTGCATGGGGGGAAGTAGGAGAGCTTTGGGGGATTATCTGTGGCTGTGAAAGGAATGGCATTTTACAAGAAATTGTCACCCTCCCCTGTGTTCAGGGAATCTCTTGTTTAGGATAGGAGGTTGGGACCCTCCAGGCTCTGTTATACCATGGCCTCTATCTACACACTTCAAGCATATACAAACAGACAAATGTTGATCCATCGCTTGGGTCAAAAGGGGAAGAGCAGTAATAGACAGAACAAATTTCTTGCAACACTGGGCAGAACATGGATGGGAAGCTGTTCTCCTGGTATGGGAAGATATTTTTACGGAAATAGATGAGACTGCCTTGAATTTTCAATTACCAGAAAACTGGTACTTGAACTGGTAAATTACCAGGAAGCTGGTTTCTTCAGCAGATGGGATGTCTCACTTCATATTCACTTTTGTTACGTCTGTATTCAGATCCCACTTAGTCTTATTTTTTGTGAATCATGTTTGTAAACTGTATGGTTCAGCTATTCAGACATTGGACAAGGTCCTGCCTGTATCCTGGAAGCCTGGAAACTATTAAAACAATCCAAAATGTCCAAAAAGAAACTATTTTATAACCTGAAAATCTTACTGATGTCTTCCAGGTTCATCTACCATAATTCCTGCTTCCTTGTGGGCAGTTTTAGATCATGTACTAAAATGTTTCAGATAACCAGCACAGACTGGAGGTACCATGTGTGGCAGCCAAAAGGTGCTGCAGCATGTTTTCATTATTGTTATTCTGAGTTAGGAGATGTCTGTGCAGCTCGCTCCAAACACATGTGGGCTGTCTCCTTCCATGCTTTCAGTGGACTGAAAACTGTAAATGTGATGAACATGACATTAGGGCTTCCAGGGAGGAGGAGAACCTCAGTTCAGGTTTGTCAATTCTATTCCAGCCATGAGCCAGATTCCTGCTCTTAACAACCACATCAGGGAGTGAATATAGTCTGTGGCTGCTTACAAAGGACCACCTCATGATGCTCTCATCTGACATCCTCCCCATGGATCAACTCTGGCCCATGGGAAGCATGGTGATGAAGCACTCACTCCACAAACTAAGGAGCCACTGTTTAAATTGCAAGGACCTGATTATTTTCTTACTCACAGCAGATGGAGGAGAAAACACAGCAGTCAAGGACTCGGTGTAAATGGAGCTGGCAGTGCTTTCCTGAGACAGCAGACAGCTTGAAACAATGGCTCTGAGAAGTGCGTCCTGCCTTCATTCATCGCACTAGGAGACTTGCCACCGAGTCCCATGGAAACAATGTGAACAGCCATATTCAGGGTTTCACTGCTGATTATTTTAGCAGACAGGATGGGGACAGAGTAGGAATGAAACCCATATGGGAAGTGGGAGTTGCATGGTAGGAAGTAGGGAGACAACACAGAAAAAATCAGGGAAGGGGGAAAGAAACAAAGACAGGAGGGGGTGAAAGAATAAACCCTCAAGGGCAGACATGGTGGTGATAATAAGGTGCTTGCTCTTTATCTCCAATTGACACTGGATCCAGTTTGGCAGGAACAGAGCCAACAGGATGAAGATAACTGGGTCATTTCTTCCTCAGTGAATGTTTCACTTGTCTGCTGTGTCCATATACTATGGGGAGAATTGTTCTCTGGCTAGAGAACACAAATCACCCTTTTGGCATATCCCAGCCCATGAGCTGTGAGAAAACATCTTTCAGCCAGACTCAGATTTGGCACTTAGCATTGGCCAAGGTCGGAGGAACCACCTTCTGGAGGTGTCTGTCCTCCTTCACCCTTCTGCAGGGAGACAGAGCTGTTCTCAGGGGAGATGAATCCCACCCCAAGGATGGATAGAAAGGAGTGTGTTTGCTGGATGTGCCTGTGCTGCTCAGTGGTGTGTCAGTCCCTGCTCTGATAAACTGAATGCTGAGCCACCTTCCTCCCAGGAATCAGATGATGAGGACAGGTAAGAGGTCTGTGCTCTTTCTTCCAAGAGGCAGCAAAGTACAGCTCTGGAGACATATGGTACATCTGTACTATTAAGTTAAATGAACTTGGGATTTTTTTCAGCACTGAGGCCAGGTAGCATTGAACCACTCATGTCCATATTGTGCTAATTCCTGTGCCATGCCTGGAGCTGCTTCACAGGACAAAACTGTGCAATAGACACTTCTATTTGACAGAGCAGGCAAAATAGCAGCACCTGGCAACATTAATTTTACTAGGATAGAGGAACCTAGATCCTATATTACCCCATCCACATCGCTGTTTTACAGGTGTCTCATAATATTGCCCTGCCCTACCATTCCCAAAGCACCTCTGGCTGCACCTCCAGTCAGTAGTCCCAGCTACTGAGTCTGGAGCAAAGCAAAGAGGGTGTTAACCCTCCCCTCTCAGCTACTGAGTAGAGCAAAGCAAGGAGGGTCGCTCTTGTGTGACCACTCAGGAGCCACACTGGCAGTCACACTTGCACCACCTGAACTGGGATGAAGGCCCCTTCATGGCTACACACCACCCCCCATCCCAGTCAGACCAGGTTTCTTTACCAGCTCAGCCCCAGGTTTCCCCCATAGCAGACCTTCAGATGTCAGGATCCTTAAAATAATTTAATCATGGTGGAACAACAAAATAACAACTTGAGCTGTGTGCCTCCAAGGAGGGACCCCAAAAAAGGGAAATTCTTGGCTTTTATACCCTAACAGTCTAAGCGTGCCAAAACCTGGCATCATTGGCTCCTGCTGCCTTTGAGTGTCCAGTCATTTGCCCTTCAGCTGCACACTGAGCTCACAATACCAAATGTATTCCTCAACAAGTGGAAACATCTAGGCACAATCCAAAGGGATTCAGCAGTGTTTCTTCACAGAGCCCACACCTGTGTCTCATAAGCTTTGAAAGCAGAAGAGATTGCTCAGTTCTGCAGGGTGAGTGACTCAAGTTGTTCCTGTCAAGAGAAAGAAAGGAGAATGTCAGGTTTATATCAGAAGTTGTTGGGATTGACATCTGCTTGATACCACACAATGAGGAAGCAACCTTAGCACTATAAGCAGGATGTTTACTACAGGGATTCTGAGAAACTATCAGAAAGCGTTGTGATAAGTGGATCTGATACATTTTCAGCCCTCGAGGGCCTTTTCCTAATTTGCCATGTGATTTATCAACCTGTTATTGTCCTCTAGTGCTTTCCACATATTGATGGCACTGACCTTGAAAAGCCCATGGCCTAATACGTAAATGATATTATTGTGTGTGGAAGGACAGCAGCATTCTAGGTCAGAGACTGGGGGTGAACGTGTGAATGTGGAGACTGGACAAGCTGGAGACTATTTCCAAGTGCCAGTTTGTGCAGGCCAAGGTCTCAGAAGGACTCACAATATCTGCATCTTGGCACTGCTGTCGCTGCAAGCTAAGAGGTGACTGAATTGTCTCCTCTTCTGAGCCATGCACAGCTGAGCTGCTGAGGAATCCCACAGCATAATGCAAGCTCTATCTAGTTAAGTCACACTGGGGTCTTGCAAAACATGGTGCTTTACAGAGAGGAACGTGGGAAGTGTAAGACTGTAGAGTAGACCAACAGCAGAAGGAAATGGCAATCCCTCAAGCCCTATTTTTGCCATTTCAGGTGGGGTTCTCCAAACTGGGAGATTTGAGAAAGGTTCTCATTCTACCAGAGGCATTGTCCTGGGATCATGCTCCTCCTTATGGAGTCACTCTTTGGTTTCTTATAACTACTGCAATAAACACTGACCCAAGAGGTCACTTCCCCTCCCGCTCACAGCCAAGGCAGCTCAGGATATTTCTTTATACATGAGAATATGACTTGAAAGTGTATAATGTGCCAATCAGGCTGCAGCTTCTAGGTGAAATGCAAGCACGGGTCAGGTCAGCAGGCAGTTTTCCATGTGTTTCCAACAGGACGTCCAGTCTACACATCCTTCAAATTATGGCTAAATATAGACTGGATTCATGAAATTCAAAAGCTGCTAGGTAGAGAAGAATACACCCTGGACTTCCCAACTAAAAAAGTCCCCTTCAGATCTGAGCAACTTATAGATAATTTATGTTGACTAAGCATGAGGAATGTTGAAGATGAGATGCCTAACAGGTCAGGAATTAAAATAAGACCCAGCTCTGCTCTTTGCTCTAAACAAACTGCAAAGTAAACCCTGTCCCAATCCCAGTTTCAGACAAGTCCTGTTCCACCTGCACAAACCTACTTTGTCATTCAGAGGTGCTTCCTGACTGCATTTCTGAGCTGTTTTCAACTATAGTAGAAGAAGCAGGGAAGAAGATCTGTTTTTGAAGGCTTGCTGAAAAAGCAAACACTAATGAGAGTCAAGGGGTGGTAAATGAATGTTAGAGTGCAGTCTGACCTGGAAACCAGTCTTGCACAGGAAGATGCATTCTCCCTTGCAGAAAACAGCAGTAGCTCCAGCAGCATGTTTTTTGCAACCCACTAAACAACCAATGAGAAGGGGATGGGTGAAACTTCCCTGTGTGGAGATGTCAGGGTCTAGCCCATTTGGGAGAGCATAAACTAGGGACATCATCCAGGTTGTTAACAGCCACTGGTCTCCCCTTGACCAGAGACATCCGAGATGCAGCTGTTTGTTTCTGCTTGGGAAGCAGGGAGGATACTGTAACATCTGAGGAGGTCATTGGGGTTGAGGTGGGAAATGTCTGTGTAGTCTCCGAGTTGTGATTGCTAGCAGGTACGTGGCTGTTACTACACAGTGCAGGACAAGCCAGGATCCTGCCACAGTCCCGGTGCAATGCGGGAGGGCCCCTGTGAGCTAACACAGCCTTTCCCCCAGCCCGTGGCTCTTGGGGACACCTTCCACCTCCTCAGCCGCACCAAGGCCGCAGCTCGGGGCGGGCAGTGCCGGCAGGGGACTGAAGGACACTCGGGTGCCAGCCTACAGGCGCAGGGCACCGTGCCGGGGCTAAGGCTCCGCTGAGCGGCCGCGGGGCTGCTGCCCCGGGCCCCTGCGGCACAGGCGAGGCCGCTGGCAGCGCTCCTCCCGGGGGCTATCGTGTTTCCAGCAGGCCGGGCGGGCCGGGGAAGCCGCGGCCGCTAGGGGGTACCGCGGGCCGGGCCGGGCTCGGGGCGGCGGGCACGGCCCGGGCCGGGTGCGGGCTCAGGTGCGGGCGCCTCCCGCAGCTGCGTCGGGCCGGGCCCGCGGCTGGGCCGCACCAGGTGTCCCGGGCTGCGGAAGGACGGGACCGAGCGCGGCGGAGCGGTGCCATCAGCCCCCGTTTCCTCAGGAAACGGCTGGGACCCGTGAGCAGCCCGCAGCCAAAACCTGCTTCGGATTTAAACCTTGCCCTAGGAAACGGAGCCCGGGATTCCCTGGCACCTCCGCAGGGAGCTGGGAACTCACGTAGGCAGCCGCTGGCGGACAGGCCACGGCCCCGGGCTGGGCTCTGCGACCCCCTGTGCTCTCTGCAGAAGCTCGGTTTGCCTGGAAGTCCCCAGCATCTGGAGGGGAAATGGCCCTGTTTGTTCCCTCCTGAACTCTCGGGGCACTCCTGGCTGACTCTTGGAGAGCAGAGAAAAGAATCGTCCCAAAATGAAAATGCAGGGGACGTCACCAGAAACCAACGTAGTCAGGCTTGCAAAACGTTAAGTGCTGAAATGCTCTTCTGGCAAAGTGATCAAAGCTGATAAATCGGGAAGTTTTCAGTTTGGCAGACACAGCTTTGCTGAAGCCACATGTAGCATGATAATGCAGATCTGCTCTGTAGACAGCACTCGTCCCATACAGCATCCAGATGTACTCATTTTGTGGGGGCTGGCTTAGGGTAAGTGAGCCTGAACCCAAACAGAACTTCCAAACATACCTTTCCCCAAGGTTTACTGACAGGACATGATCCCTGAGTTTCTTTTACATTGGGATTAATTAATCCCATCTCTGTCAGGAGGATACAAGCTTCTAGAAATCAATCTGCAGTGGCGATTCCCAAAGAGGAGTGTCTATTTTTACACTGGTGATGTGGAGATGGTGATCCTGCTTTTTCTGGCAACCCTGGAGAAATTCCTCTCAGCAGCATTGTCCACCTGCGTGCGATAACAATAGCTGGTGACTCAGGATGATGGGTTATGCGACACTTCCATCTCTCTCACAGTTGAGTCACTGGCCGGGATGGGATGGGCCCAGCTGGGAAAGCAGTGTGCAGGATGTGTCCCAAGTGTGCAGCCAAAGCAGACAGGTCCTTTTCATAAGCCTGCCTGTGGGACTGTAGGTAAATAAGGATAGTCGATGTAAGCCAGAGTGAGTGCATGGCCTCAAAAGGGCTGTGTTTCCTCTCTCTGTCCCTTGTACCCAACCCTGGCTGTGAGGAAGCGCAGCAGCATCTTCTGGCTCCTGGGGGAGAAGGAGGAGCAGGGAGTGTCAGCCAAGGCGTGAAGCACAGCTGCAAGACACCAAAGCACCCTGTCCTCCTCCAGCTCTGCGCTTCACCCCGTGGAGGGCAGAGGCACAGCACCTGCTGCATGGGCAGTGGATGGATAAACACTCAGGAAATCGTGTTTACCAACACATTGCTCAGCCCACAGCTCTCCACCTGCTCCAGGAATAGTTGTAGTGACATAAGAGCATCGGAGTGTTTGCAATTCATACTTAACTGATACTCGTTTTTCAGGAAAAGTCCTAGAGTAAGTTTTTGTTTGTTCACTTCCTTCACACTCTTCCCTGTTCAGTCTTCATTTTGGGCCAGGATTAAGGGTGTATACTTTTCCTAATACTTGTTATTTTGCATTTGGAGTTCTTTTATTATTTTTTTAACTTCAAAATTTTGGCATTTCTGATGTGTTATGAGGGTGCTTTCTGTGGATCTTTCATACATTTTCTCTTTGGTCCTTTATTGTATAATTTCACTTTAATATTGCTATTTCATCCAGAAATTATGCAGTGGAAAAAAAATGCACTTCAGCATAATGTTATGCAAGTGTAACAATTAATTCAAACATTTCTTCCATGAAGGAAAACAGAAATTCTTCTGTACATGCAGAAATTGAAGGCTCAAGTCTGCTTTTACTTAGTCTAACATCAGTCAGGAATGACACCAACAATTTTCATCTGGGTGGAGTTAGCAGTGGAGAACTAGTCCTGGATTTTTACATGTGTAGATGTGCGATTTTCAAAGTATTGATCCTTCAAAATATGTCTTCAGATAACCCTGGCTCTAGAATAGCACTCATAAAATCAGCGGGGGGGGGGGGGGTCGGGGGGGGGGCAATAAAGATCTGGGAGAGAGAGGGCTATGGATGAACCCCCCAGGTACTAAAGCCCCATGGCAAGATGAGCACCTCAGAGTAGTTGCACACTGGAGCAACCCCAGCAGCACCACCACACGATGCAGACCTGCCAGCAACGGCGGTGGGCTGGCTTAACCAGCAGTAGCAGGCGAGCTGGAGCAATGTGGAGCTCAGCATGAGCTAAGCTCTCATGGGCTTTTCCAGCTTTTGAGCCAACTTTTTAAGCCCATGCCAAGCTCCAGTTGTTGCAGCTTGCTTGCTCTGGTTACCGCACTCCTCCAAGTCAGCGAAGCAGAGATGTTGGCCTCACAGCTGCAGTGGTGTTGCAGCTCCTGTGCAGAGCCTCGTGCAAGCTGCAACAGCCCCCAGCCCACACTGCACTACACTGACATGAGCCTGGCAGGGTTTCGGTTAGGTAAAGCTACTCTGACTCTTATGTTAGTTCTTGTGCTCTGCAACTTGGGCTTCAAATTTTGGGACTTCTGTCTTGCTCATTCAGCCTCTTGGGAAGGGCCCAGCAACAGCTGAGCTGAGGGCAGCATGAGCTGAGCCTACATAGAGCCCCTCTCTCCCACTCTTTGCAGGGAGTAAAAGCCTCGATTATTAGATGCAGGAAATGGGGGGCAACCTCTTAAGGTTCCTCAATAAATAACATGCTTTTTCTGCCTTTTTTTTTTTTTTTTTTTTTTTTTGTCCTTTCTATATATGATTATTCCTTTAATCAACTGGTTCCCATTCTGGTTTCATTTGCATTTTAGGCTGCATTTTGAGATTGACTTTTATTTTATTTGGATCTGACACAAATATCTGGTTCCAAGAGCCTCTGAGGTTAACAACATGAAGCAGCTCTCATTTTATCTGAATGGTTTGGGCTGAGCTGAAATGTAAACTTTGGATAGGACAGTTTACTTCCCAGATGTTTCTCTCCCTGCTTTTTTAGATTGTCCCACTTCCCAAAAGTAACTGGGGGATGGTCTCAATGTGGCAATGTGGCTAGGAATTTTGATGTAATCCCTTGTATATGTAAAAGACAGGAGGTGCCCCTCCAGCATTCTTTATCAATTAAAACCAAGACTCTGTGCAATACCTATCCTAATTGCTCATAACTAGCATAGCACAAGTAAGGATTAGCTCTTTGCTTATAGGATCAAGGTGCTTATGTTATTTTTTGTGGCTGTGGCAGGAGAGGCTGGCTGCCTACCCTACAACATCTCCTATCTCCATTCTGCCAAAGAGCTGCCTGTACTTCTCGGGGTAATCCAAAAAAAAAAAAAAAAAGCCTTTTTTCTGTTTCTCACAGAATTCTCATTGGAGTTAAAAGTGACATCTATTGACTTGTTCTCCTGGCAGGGCTGTGCTTTAGCAATGTGAGACCACAATTAACAATTGAAGTAAGCTTTAAAATGTCTTTGCTAAAGCAAATTTATTGTTTCTTTCCCCATGCCCATGCCCCAGTTGTGGACAGTTTTGCAGGTTCTTGTGCCCAGGGCCGGCTTAGCCCCTCATGCTCTTCCCAGGAGCAAATTACATCCTTTGCAAGTGGAGAGGGATTCACAGCTATTCCACAATTATGAACAGAAGAGAAGGTGGATTTAGGGGCAGAAGTTACCCTGGAAATTTTGAACAGCAGGTAAGCTTGGTGCCTTTCCTTTGCCAAGCTGCAGTTTGTAAGGTGTCCAGGAATGACTGAGCAGGAGTCTAGGCAGGATTAAAAAGGTTCAGGTGTCACAAGCAGAATAAAGGTCACAAATCCAGAGCAAAGGTTGGGGTGGGAGTGCATCTTTGAAACCCCAGCATAATATCAGCTGATTTCATGATTATGAGTACAAAGGTCACCGGGAAATGTGCCACTTTCTGGAGGACACCACAGTTCCTGCCCTTTCACATGGGCAGTCATACCTGAGGCTAAAATACATCAGTATACAGAGGTACAATTTCTACTGGCTAAACCTCCTTACAGGAAATGTGTTTTTCCTTCAAATGCTTAGGCCATTTTTTCCTTCCTTTTTTTTACAGGAAAGGTGTTAAAGTGCAGTTGTTCTCTGCAAAGTCCTTTTTGCATAATTAGGACTTGTCCAGTCTGATCCTTGTGTGCATGCAGAGTCAGATCTGATGATTTCAGTAGCCAAAAAGAGACAAACTGCTTTTTTACTCCTCTGGTCTTACCACAAATAACCAAGTGAAGCTTGGGTTTTCTTTTTTTTTTCCTGGACATTGTAACCAGATTCAAGCATGGCATGAACTTTGAACAGCTGGCATCTAGCATGAGAACAGGCCAGTCTCTGATTCCCTCAAGCCAACTTGTTAAATTTCTTTAGGTGTGGTATGGTAAGGAGTTGGACTTCTTTTGTTGGACTCCTTTCATTGGACTCTGGCTCTGCTGCTGAGCCCAGTGAACACAGTGATGTTGCTTGGCAAACTGAGGGCAAGCACCCTTCAAATCATCAGCTACTTGGACTGGGGAGACCATTATTCAAAACCGGGGAGCAGGAAGAGAAGATGAAAAGAGATGTTTGCACTGCTGGCCCCAAGCCAAAACACAGGTGCCAAATTTAGGAGCACGGTCTCTTATGCCTGTCCCAGGGGGCTCAGCAAAGGGGCGTGTACATACAGCGTGGGACCCAGGGGCGCTCCCCTGAAGATGGACATGTTTGTGTTTGTCACCTTCGTGTCAGGATGAGCCGGAGGCACGCTCCGCTCCCCTCCCCCTGTGCTTGTATCCTGTTTTCCCCGTGAAGGAAATCTGGGCAAGCAGGGCGGAAGAGCGCTGGGGGGTCCCGGCCGCGGCAGGACTCGGGCAGCAGAGGGGGTTTGCTGCTGCTGCACACCTGCCCCA